TCGCTGAGCCTTGGCCGTGCCCCCTAGACATAGGGAAGCCTGTAACAGCGCCGGTGCGGGCAGGCAGCTGGCATTCCAGCATGCATGTACTGCTGCCGCTGCCGATGGGACCACGTCGAAAGGGTCCCTCCTCTCGGTGGCTGGGAAGCCAAGGCTCAGACTGATGCAAAGTTGCAAGAAGGGGAAGGCAGGACGACACTCTGAGAGGCTGTGATTTGCAGCTCCATTCCCTCCTCCACACTGGCAGCTCCCGCCCTGACCTCTGGAGGGCCCCGCTGAGCAGGAAGCAAGGAAGGCAACCCAGGCACCCAACATGTGCCTGCACTGCATGGCTGCCTGGACCATGCCAATTCACGTCTGTAAACAATGAATCTGGGTTTGGCCAGGCACAGCGGCACATGCCTGTTATCCCAGCTACTCAGGAAGCTGAGGCAGGAGGATTGCAAGTTGGAGACCAGCCTGGGCAATTTAGCCAGACCCTGTCTCAAAACAAAAAATGAAAAGCCAGATGTGGTGATGCACAACTATAATACCAGCACTTTGAGAAGCTGAGGCAGGAAAATGGCAAGTTCCAGCCCAGCCTGAGTAATTTAGTGACTTGGTAAAACTCTCAAATTAAAAAACAAGTAAATAAAAATTTATAAAGGGCTGGGGTTGTGAATCCTTCTCAGGAAGGCCCTGAGTTCAACCCCCAGGACCAATGAATCATTCAATCAATATCTTTAAAAGGTGGGGGTTGTGGTTCAGTGGTAAAACCTTTGTCTTGCATGCCTGAGGCCCGGGGGTTCTTCACCAGCACCACAAACAAAGGGGAAAAAAAAGATTTGGGTTTGGTCAGGGAGATGGTTTTGCACAGCTGGATCAGCTGGATTTGCAAGTTGCACAGCCAAGTGACGCCATGAGCCCCCGCCTTTCTGAGCTGTGTACCCACAGCCGTGACCCCTGCCCCGCCTGCTGCAGCAAATCCGAGGTTCGCGTCCCAGTAGGGCAGCGTGAGTCACTTCCCCCTCGTGTGGCCTCTGTGCAGATGCCAGGGCACGATGGAGCCTGTCGCAGAAGAAGGAGCGTCTTTTACACGACACGGACAGCTCTCTCTAGGGTAGAGCTGGGGCCACCAGAGACAGCTCCGGGGCCTCTCTCCCTCGTCCGGCAGATAAAATGCATGAAGTCGCCGCTCACCTTGGAGACACAGCTGCCCACAGCTGGGCTGGGCCTCCTGTTGCTCTCCCTCGAGCTGGCTACCTGCAGGCAGGTGTCAGCCCTGATGCCCCAAGAGCCACCTGCCGAGACCACCCGGCAGCCTCGAGGCGCCGATCCGACACAGATGCTGGTCCAAATCATGTTCCCTCTCACAGCAGCACCTTCCACCTCCTATTCCCAGGCTCAGTTCAGTCTCGTCTCCACCGTTGCCCTCCCAAGGTGCCTCACCCCAGCTGTGCTTTTCAATATGGGCCGCTCAGGGATGTTCCCAGCCTGACCCTCCCTGAGCACCGGACAGCTGCCTGGTGCCATCCGCTGCCACCTAGCACACAGGGTTTTGTTTTTGTTTTTGTTTTTGTTTTTTCCGGTACTGGGAACCGAACTCATGACCTTGCGCTTGCCAGGCAGGCCCTGTGCCACTGAGCTAAATCCCCAGGCCCTCCGCTGCCATCTAAATCACACCACCCCCTCCCCTCCTGAACACCAGCAGCCCCGCTGAGCACCAAAACCCCGCTCCTCCCGGAGCACACTTTCCCACTGACTGGAGAGCAGCTCTATCCTGCAGCCGCTCTGGCCAGAAACCCCGGGCGTCGTCCTGAAATCCTCTTTCTCCCACACCCACGCCTCATCTGTCCACAGACCCTGCTGCCTCTGCGTCCAAAACACAGCCAGGGTCTGACCACGTCTCACTATCTCCACGGGAACCACCTGGTTCAAACCACCAGCATCTCTTACCTGGATTATTATTAGAACAGCCTCCCACCCAGTTCTGGGGGATCCAACTGAGGGCCCCGGCCAGCTAGACAAGTGCTCTCTCTATCACTGAGCTATATTCTCGACTTTTATTTTTATTTTATGTTCAGACAGTCTTGTTCAATTGCCCAGGCTGGTCTCGAACTTGTGATCCCTCCTGTATAAGCTTCCCAAGTGCTGGGCTTATAGGTGTGCACCAGTGAACCTGGGTGCCCCCCCAGCGATCTGTCAGAGTCACCTTCTCCCAACATCCCGTACGCCCGCCCACTCTATCCCAGCTCTGCTTTCCTGTCTTCCCGGTGTTTAATTTCTATTCGCTTTCTGCTGCCAGCATGCGGACACCACAAAGGCAGGGCCTGATGGCTCTGCTCATCGCCCCAGGTCCACAGCAGACAAGGATGATGGAATCCCTGTCCCCACGACGGCCCCCATGGGTGGGGATGGCCCACAGACACCCACTCCTGGGACCACGTCTCCCGCATCTGAGTCAGCCTGCGGCCAGCACAGCTCCCCCGGGGCAGGGCGAGATCCGTACACACTCACCACTCGCCCGGGCTGTGCAAAAGGCGGCTCCCCAAAACCAGTGTGGGAAGAGGTCTGGGGCCTGGGCCAGGAGTCATCAGAGGAGAGGGTGGGGCGGGGTGGAGGGAGGATTGGGCTATTTTTAAAAACTCCCTCCCAAAAGGACCACATTCTTCCTCCAGTGAGTCAGAAGCATGTGGCGGTGGGCGAGGGGGCCAGGACCCAAGAGCCGCGCCTGTCGTCAGCAGCCACCGGGGCAGGCAGGTACACACAGAGGCGGAGGAAACCTGGCACATACGCAGCTTTCCAGGATGGCGGTGCTGGGCCCCGGGCCCCAGGACAAAGGGCATCCATGGGAGCCATGGAGAGCTGAGGGTACCCTGAGCTGGCAGGCCGTGGGGAGCAGAGGGGACCCCCTTTCAAAGCCCGCAGGGACCCATCTGGCTGCAATCGCTGTCTTCGGACCCCAGCTGAGCCTCTGTCAGGGACGTCGCTGTCCACTCTGCCCTACTAGGAAGCACTGGACGGGGAAGAAACAGCCTTCACAAAACCCAGAGCCAAAAACAGCTCTGCCCAACCAACCACAGCAGGGAGACTGGCCTGTGGTAGCTGAGGTCTCTGCCTCAGAAAAAAACAACAAACAAAAAGAATCCCCACCATATAGGGTGTTGTAAGAATTAAATAAGCCCAGTGTTGTGGCACATGCTGTAATCCCAGCATTCAGGAGGCTGAGGCAGGAGGATCGCGGCAAAGTTCAAGGCCAGCCTGGGCTACACAGTGAGTTCAAGGCCAGGCTGAAATGCATGGTGAGACCCTATTTCAAAAAAAAAAAAATTTTAAATGAGGCAATCATTCACATAAACTGCCTTGCTCAGGGCCTGTAACAGTAACATTTGTTGACTGAATAAACCACCACCTCTATTTGAACAGCAGCACTATCTTTTTTTTTTTTTTTTTTGGTTTTTTTTCAGTAGGGGGAATTGAACTTACAACCTTGCAGTTGCCAGGCAGGTGCTGTGCCACTGAGCTAAATCCCCAGCCCCAGCAGCACTATCTTCCAAGAAGGGGTGGGTCCGGGTTCCAGACTAGAGGTAGGAGTGCCAGAGCCCTCTGTCACTGCCCTGGCCTTTCTGGGACCGTGAAGGCAAGGGGTGGACAGCAGCCCCTCCTGCAGCAGCTAAACACGAGCTGCCCCTACTGTGGGGAACAGGCAGCCACTGTAGGGCTGTGGGTCAGCCACCCCCTGCCTGACCCTGAGCTAACGTGCAGCAAGGTGAGCTCCCTAACCCCCTTTAGACTCAAGATCCCAGGGTCTCAATAGGACGGGGAAACAGGGTCTCAATAGGACGGGGAAAACCCGAAAACAAATCAGCAAAGTGATGTCCTCAGTTGGTGCCAAAATGAGCAATGACCAAGGCTCAGTGTGAGGGGCCTCGGGACACTCCAACTCCCCGGCCAGTCAGTGAGGCCTGCCTGGGGCCCAGCTCCAAGCCGCTAGCAAAGCCCCGGACTGAGAGTTTCAAATACTGGGACGGGAGTGTCCACTCCTTCCCGGAGCTTACAAGTACCCTGCTAAAATAAGGACAGCAAACCCCCTCCAGGCAGCAAATTTATAATGACCTGTAGCCAGCACAGAGACCCGTGGCCTGGGGAGGTGGGATGTCAAGGTCCCTTCCCTGCAGGACACAGCACCTGTTCAATACCGCCAGACAGGGGGCGGGGCTGGGATGGCCAGCCGGATGTGCCCGCCAATGGAAGCCTTTGCCGGGTCCGTCTATGGCCCATCCTGGGGCCAGGTTCTCCGCGACAGAAGACAGGGACACCATCTACTTCCATGGCAGGGTGCAAACCAAGAAGTGAGTCTCTAGCACTGTCCGTGTAGGAACCGAGGTCTCCAGCCCCTCCCACACCCTGGGGGCGCTGAAGCTCAACACATTCAGGAGGATGCCAGAAGAGCCAGGCTGCCTCTCTCTGGGGCCCTCCGCCATCCAACAACCCCTCCACCACCATGTGACAAGGACTGATGGAGCCCTCCAGCACTGTAGGCGCATGGAAGGTCCTAGGGAAGTGCTGAGAGAGAGGGCACAGGGGTGACTAGGCCAGGGAGGAGTCCAGACTAAGGGACTCGCATCCTGTCCTACACTCCCGCTGAACGCTCCCAGCTCTGACGCGGTGCCCGTACTCCAGGGGCTCGGGGTCTACCCTATGCTGTAGCCCCTAAAGCAAGAAGACGTGAAGGCCTGGCTGAGACCACCCATTTCTGCCAAAAGCTCTACCTCTGGGCAACCTGCCAACCTAGCCCCTTTGGCTTCTCTGGCTCCCAAGGCGTCTCTGCATTTTATGCCAAGCCGGATCCCTTATGCACCCAAGGAATGTGGGTTGGGGTGGGCTTTTTCCCGCTTTTGTTTTTGGTTGCGGGGACGGGGAGGGTAGCAGACTGTGAATTCGATTTTGAAATTTCCATCACACCTTGACCCACACAACTACAGCTTGACTGATCGATCACCCAAGGCCGGGGCTCTCACCTGCAGCGATTCAACTCCCCAAGGGACGTCTGGCGCTATCTGGAGGCCGCGTTGGTGACAGTGATGGCGTGGGGGCAGGGCGCTCCTCACACCCATTAGCCAGAGGCCAAACACTGGGCAAAGCCAGGGTCCTTCACGCCTCACAGAGAAACCCTGATCTGAGGCATCGGGTCCCGTCCCCAAGGATCCAGGGCGACGCTGGCTGCCTAATGCAGGGTGGTGTGACGATTATCAGTCGCCAGGACACAATGACCGAAGTCACTGCCACTGGTTTCCATGGCAGGTAAGTACTGGGACACAAACGTCTGAAGAAACTGCAGTACGCTGCACGGCTTGTTTCTGCCATCGCCCCACTCACACCCTATGCTCTTTGCGTCTCCACCACCTGTCCCAGTATCAGAGCAGGGGAAGGGCAGGCAGGCAGGAGAGAAGAGGGACCCCATCTTGTGCCCCTCTACATCCTCCACACCCATCCCAGCTTCTGACAATAACAAGCTACTTTCCATCATCTCTTAAACCCACAACTTAACAACTAGTCCATGTTGGACGCAATGGCATACCCTTGTAATCCTAGCACTTTGGGAGGCAGAGGCAGGAGGATCACAAATTCAAGCCAGGCCTGGGTACTCTAATGACTTAGAGACCTTACCTAAATTTTTTTTTTTAAATACAAGGGCCACCCACCAAAAAAAAAAAAAAAAAAATACAAGGGCCAGAGATAAAACAGCGTGAAACCCTTGGTATGGGGTGGGGGGGGGTATGATGTCTTCAAAGCTAAGGACTGCTGTGGGTCCCCAAGGTGATGGTGTTTGGAGGTGGGGCCTTTGGGAGGTGACAGGTCAGGAAGGAGATTAGTGGCCTTGTCAAAGCGGCCCGAGCCCCTTCCACCAGGGGAAGACACAGCAAGGAGAGGCCATCCACAAGGAGCAGGCCCTCATCCGGCAGGGAATCTATACCGTGACCTTGGACGTCCCAGCTCCAGAACAGGGAGAAGAAGCGTGTGCCCCAGCCCAAAGTGCTCCGACAAAGTTTCTGATGGGAGTTGGGGCCTGATGCTGCCCTTGCTCCTCCTCGCCCCACTGGCCTCTCCCAGGTCCCCTCATTCCTGACAAGCAGAACAAACCGGGAGGAACCCAGGTCCCTGGACAGGCAGGGAACAAAGTCAGCAGTACCTGGGGTTGCCCAGTGCCACTGAGAAGCAAATGCCAAAATCAACGCCACCTCAGTGCAGTGTGCTTGTTGCTCATGGACTGCCCAGTGCTGGTCCAGCCCTTTATTCCTAAAATTAATCCCTGGGATGGGGACGACTGTCATCCTCATCCTACACATTAAAAAGCAGACACAGAGAGGTAAAGAAAAGGTTTTCTTGTTTTCTTAGTTTGTTTGTTCTGTTTTGTTTTGTTTTTGAGACAGGGTCTCGATTTGTAGTGCAGGTTGGCCTCACTATATGGCCCAGGCTGGCCTCCAACTCAAGGCAATTCTCCTGCCTCAGCCTCCCAAGCGCTAGGATTACAAGTGTGCAACAGACACCATGCCCGGCAAGGTGAAGAAAACCGTTCACGGTCACAGAGTCAGTAAGTGGAGGACGAGGATTTGAACCCAGGCGTTGTGCCTTCGGCCCCTACAGCAGGTCTGAGTGTGAGACCTCAGCGCCCCTAGACCACTGCTCAGCCAGGCTCTGTGCTGCCTGGGACCGAGGACTCCCATGGGAGTTGGCAAGGCAGAAGCGCTGTAGACAGCACGTCAGGAGGGGACCTGGGACCCTAGCAGACAAGGGCTCTGCTCAGTGGCCCCCAGGGAGTGTCCCAGCTGCACAGCTCCAGAAGCAACCCCCGCGGGGCATTCTGGTCCATTCCAGCCGCCACTGGAGATGCACCCAGGCCCCACCGTGCCAGCCAGAGTGAGTAGCAGGTGTTAGCCGCTGCCTGAGCCTGAGTCCTGCTCTGCGCGGGCGAGGCTTCTTGTGATGTTGGTGGGGAGCCTCTTATCCGTCCCCTTCTCATCTGCTCCCTCGGGTTAGGACCAAAGGCTCTCTCTCCTGTCCCTGAAGGGCTCTGACGTATTTCTCACACACACACTCTAGGGAGAGGGAGGGTCCTGTAGAGCCTGCAGTCCAGCCTGGCAGCCAGAGCCAGCACATGACCCCGAGGGTCCTCCTGTGGGTTGGAATCTGGCAGTGCAGACTCCAAATCCTGGGCTCACTGAATGGCAGCTGCAGCTTCACTTCCCAAGCCTCAGTTTGCTCATCTATAACCAAGGCGTAAAGATGCTCCTGAGACCTGGCTGAGCAACACGCCCCTTTGGTCGCTCTGCCCGGAGTCACCACAGCCCCCCAGCACATCCCGGCCTGGGGCTGAGTTGCTATACATATCCTCTCACTGAACTGGCTCCTTTGGCAGGAGGTCCCTGTCCCCCCGGGAGAGGGGCCATGTCCACCTCCATCACACTGGGGCCTCATCTCATCCCTGGAGCTTCTCAGAAAGAGGCTCCTCCTTCCTACACAGGACACCCCCCTCCACCGCGCCCTCCCCGCTTCAATCCCACCCTGCTCGGATGGGTCCCCCTTGCCTGGGAGTTCAGCAGACGGTTCTCAGCGGCCCACCGTTCACCAGGAGGTGCACCGGGCCCAGGCGGAGCACCAGGCTGAATTTTCTCCTTGCAATGGCTGGGGTGTACATGGGAACACGGCAGCTGTAATCACACAGGGATCTGACCCCAAACACCAGTCCTGTCCCTCCAGAAGCAACTCCACACTTTCTGCTAACGAGTGTGAATCATGGGACAAGAGTCCACCCCAAACCCCAGCTTCTGTGCTCACTCACAAGCTGCGAATAAAATGCTCCTCTGCGCCTTGTTTGGGAGGTACCAGGAATCGAACTCAGGACCTCACACTTGCGAGGCAGGCGCTGCACCACTGAGCTAAACCCCAGCCCCTCCTCAGCGCCTTTGAGCCTCTGCTCCACCCAGGAACTGGGTGAGGCTTCAGCATTAACCCCATGTGAGCTCACAACCCTGCAGGTCCCCATGGACTGCCCCAGTCCTGAAGACAGCGCCGGAGTCTGTTCGCCGCTCTATCCACGAAACTGAGCACCACACCTGCCACCGGACAGGTCTTCTCTAAGTGTCGGCAGGATGGAGTCAAAGAAAAATAGTGACGCTCACTTGCCCACGGTCACACAGCAGGAAAGTGAGCGGCCTGGCCTCCGGCCCAGGTTACCCTTAGACCCGTCTCCCCCTGGGGCACCTGGGGTCCAGCAGCCATCTGACAGGGGCTCCCCAGGCCAGGTTTCCCAGGGCACAAGGGACAGCCATGCTAGGCCCCAAGGAAGGAGAGGTGAGAGCGAAGGAGGCTATATTAGGGAAAAACAGCAGAAAGGAAGGCAGAAAGTGCCCTGGCAGGGGACAGGCAGCTGCTCATGAGTCATGTGCCCTGGAATACTCTGTTGGTAGCCAGCGCCAGGGCAGGCCGGGGAGGCCAGGGAGCCGGACGGCCTGGGGACCTACCCAGCCACTGCAGGATGGCATGGGCCTCGAGCTAGGTGGCCTGGCCCTGCCACCAGCTCCCGCCAGCGCCGGACAGGTCCCTGTGGCTCCCAAGGCTTCCAACCCCCTCTGAGCAGGAGGGAAGAGGACACGCTGAATACTGGGGGTGCTGCCTAGAGCCTCTGACTGCGGAGCTGCAGGGGCAGCACCAAGACGAAGCTGCTGGCTCCCTCTCTCCCAGCCAAGCATGGTCCCCCCTCCTCCAACACCCCACTGTGGAGGTGACACCACTTTCTGACCCTCTCCAGCTGCCTGCACCCCCAAGAAGCGGCCTCATTCCCCTCTCAGCTGTAGAGGGGGCCTGGGCAGGGAAGGCGACTCCCCAAGCACCAACACTCGCCGGGTCCTGTCTGGTTCTAAAGCAGGGCTAAAGCGGGGCTAGTGCCAGCTAGCTGAGGTTCCCCAGCCCAAGCCAGGTAGAGCACCTGCTCCGGTTCACACAGCTAACAAGACCAGGACTGGAACTCGGGTCCTGCAGACCCAGGCTGAGAGCTCATTCCCGCTGGGTCGGCTCCCACAGGACGGGAAAACGGCTCAGCCCTGGGGTCCCCTCTGTGCCTCCTACATGGTCTTCCAGAGATGCTTGTCTGCTGGACCACATGAGTCCTCCCACATCCCACCCCGGGCCCCAGCACAGCCCACCAGCCAGAGACCTCCCCACACCAGCCCGACCCCTTTTCACAAACGTGCAGGGAACGTGCAGCTCTGGCACAGTGGAGCCAGGGAGCAAACCTCAGGATCCACTGACACCCACAGCACCCCAGGGTGGCCCAAGGAGGCCCCTGGTAGAGGAAGGAGACCCCTGGGACGTGGAAGGGAAAAGCAGGGACTCTGTAGGGAGACACTCCCCAGATGCAGCCATGGGGGACCCTCACTGCCTCCCGCCTCCTCTACGCTTCAGTCCCTCCTGTGCTACAGAACAGGCATGGCCACCCAGGCCACTGGACAGGGGTGGGGTGTAAATGCTATTGCCCCGAGAGGAGTAGGTGCCCTTCCTCCCTGGAGGGTGACTGCTTATCCAGCCATCAGGCTCAGAGCCTGGCAGGCTCTCAGGCAGCCAGTGCAAACAGGCCAGCACCTGGAGACAGGTTTGTGGGGTTAATATTTACCTGCCTATGGCCCACATCTTGTAGGGCATCAGACAAGCCTGAGTCACCAGCCCTGAGAATTCAAGTTAGGCAGGAACACATAGTGCGGAGAGACAGGCTTCTTGGGGTGCCCAGCTCCTCTGGCTGGAGCAGGACAGTCCCCTCCCCCCCACTGCCCCTGCAGACTAAATGGCCCCAGCTAACCCTCTACCCCATTTCAGCTGCCTTCCATTGGAAGCAATGTTCAAGACATCACTCCAAGGCTTTTGCAAGCACAATTTTCTTAATCATTCCAACAACTGTATGAGGTGAGGGTGCTTCTATCCCCAAACTGAAAAATTGAAAGGAAATGCAGCAACATCCCCACGGTGACCTGCCACAGGTAAGACCCTCCCTTGGCCCAGAAACTGGTCCCTACCTCTTCTGCCTGGGACACTCGCACCCACGGGTTGAGCCTCTACACAAGTTGGGTCCAGAAAGTCTTCCATGATGACCACAGGCACAGCTGGCCGCTTGCCCCTTTGAGCACCTAACACTGAATTAGAATCACCCGCTTTGCTTTCTGGCTTCTCCACTAGATTCTGAG